CCCTGAGACATGGCAGCGCAGTGAGAGGAGTTGCCTACACACCGGGTTCACACAAAGTGCATTCTAATATCCCTGAGACATGGCAGCGCAGTGAAAGGAGTTGCCTACACACCGGGATCATACAAAGTACATTCTAACATCCCTGAGATATGGCAGCGCAGTGAGGAGTTGCCTACACACCAGAATCACACAAAGTGCACTCTAGCATCCCTGAGACATATCAGCGCAGTGAAAGGAGTTGCCTACACACCGGGATCACACAAAGTGCACTCTAACATCCCTGAGATATGGTAGCGCAGTGAGAGGAGTTGCCTACACACCGGGATCACACAAAGTGCATTCTGATATCCCTGAAACATGGATATTTATGACTTTCTGGCTTGTCTTTTCTTAACAACAGATTTCTTGTGTGTGGGTACCTTTCGTAGTTTATTAAATGAAGACGCCAGCGGGCAGACTACAAAGCGTCGAATGACTGGACGATAGTGACTAATAAATAAAGAATTATGTCGAAGGAAGTGACCGTGGTCTAACCTAAGGTACTTGCCGACATTACTTGCACGGACTGAGAATAACCGCAAGACCATTGTCTGTATAACTGGTGACCCGGTTAGAGACTGGAAGCGGGCAACTCACGAATAAAAGTCAGAAGCACTGCCACTTCAGACAACTTGCTCGGCTGGCTGTGTGGAAAGAGTTTACAAAATATCCTATGTTAGATGAGTTTAAAGATCGAAAAGACCTGAAATACCAACAGGGAAAAGAACAACTACTCGTAAAAACTTTCATCTGTGTATGGAAGATGACAACTGCGGGGCAAACCATCTGTTAGTGACTCTCAATCGTTTAGCTATGGCGAATACAATAAATAACTAGAATTTAAACAATATTTTTCATGAACTATAGAACGGTAAATTAATAAATAATACAACAGCCTGTACTTTTATGTTACAGCCTAAGACAGCCTTACTGTTGAAATATTAAGCTACAGATTACATTTTTTAAGCTTATTAGCAAAGCATCGTATTCCTTCGCCTACTGTCTGCTAATATGCGTCTTAATTCTCTAAACCAATAAAGACTTAACAATTTTCTTCTATACCCTCCAAGAGGTCGACCTTGTGATCGGCCAAAATAGCTGAACGTTTAGTCTCACTGCATTGGTCTGACAAAGATATTGTTATGTATCCTGGTAACGCGACAAGTAATTAATTGGTTCCGGGTTAGATGAAGCGATTTGCTGAATATTCAACAGGAGGAACTACAAGTAGTTGTAACACAATCTTACCGTAACTATAACACTTCGTAACTAAGAACAATGGTGACAACTCATACAACAAAGACTTCACTTCTGACTTCTTTCTCTGACTTCTCCTTGTCTCTTGTCTTCTGTCCTATTCTGCCTTCTTCTGTGTTCTGTCGTATTCTATCCCTAAGGTAGGTTCTGGTAGAACCGCATGGAGATCACCTCCTTCAGCAGCAGAGTTATCGCGTTCTCCGCTGTTACTGTGCTTTCTAGGCTCGTTGTAGTAGATATCGGCCTTTAATCGCTTAGAGTTACATAGCGCGTATCAAAACCCTAGTAAACGAAGTTTTATAGTTGACTGTGTTACCTAGGAAATGTATTTACCGAGCCGTTGCCTAGCGATACGTGTTACAATATTATACACATTCCGACGACTGTTTTCACTTACACTTACACTATGTACACTTAAAGAGGGCTGACATTTCAGAAAATTCACCTTTCAGGTTCTAAACTAAATCAGTCACTGGAGAATGTCTGTGGACGTGTACTTTAAACCCATGCTTGCAAACGTGTCTGTTAGTGTTCCTTTTAGTTCGCCGTCAAATTCCTTATGTCGTCCATGCAGGCTCTGGGGCCCACCCAGCCTCCTATTCAATGGGTACCTCCATCCCCATAAGTCATAGCATGGTCCTTAATTTACCATAAGGAAAACTTTACCGTCCCATTTACCCGTTCTATAATCACACTTAGTGCATAGCCACAGCGCCAACACGTCCTACTGGCATTCGGGAGATATTCGGTAAGTAGCGACCAGCGAATCCCTTAACTGGGGCACTTCTCGACTTTCTTCAGTCACTCAAACTGACCTCAAGAGTGCCTACATGTATCAGTCCCGTCAGATTCATCATATGACTGATAAGGTCATCAGTTACTGAAGCGCCGTGAAATACAAACTCCATGACCTGTAGTCCGCAAGCGAACTATACCGACCGAGCGACCGCCGCTTGTCGGCGAAGTTAGTGCCAACTTTGGCGGATAGAGGGTGTCGCGTGATTAGCGGAACGGATACCCACGGCCTTTAATCTCGATTTTCTAGACCGGAAGCGCTATTTCCTTGAAATGGCTCCTCAATTATTCTCGAGAGGCTAAGTGGACCCCGTTCCAGACCCACAACTTCTCAGAAAATCTGGCAGCTCCGGGAATCGAACCCGGGGCCTCTAGATCTGTAGCCATAAACTCGGACCACTTGACCACTGAGGCGGTGGCGCCGTGAAATAGCGGGATCCATAACGGAATCCGGACATCGCGCGTATGAACCCAAACAATAACTACGAAGGTAAGCCAATTTACACATCTGTTATGCACACACAATGAAAGACCGGATATTACATCTTGTCTCAGAAACTCAAGCGCTTAGGTAGACTTCTGAACAAGCAATTCCTTCCTTCGTAGCGGATATTAAAACGAAGACCCCCTACCCCGCCACTCACCCTAGCAAAAACGTTACAAACAACCTCAAGTGAAACAATGGTAAACACTACGCATCAAAGACGTCTAGTTCTGCTGTGAAGCGCACTTGACTAAAGTAGTGTCATCAAACCGGTAAGACGTTCAACGTGCGAGTAATACAGCGGGCCCCAAGCGAATTCGCATTGTCGCCACAGTACTTAATTGTCATCTTAACATACAAACTCCTTCGCTGACTACACAAACGCGCTTACAACAGCAACTACACGTAAGAAACGAGCCTGCTCGTCCCATTATTATGCGTTACACAGGCATGGAGAATGTGTTGCATGAGGAAAAGAGCCTAAAGGTAAAGTTGTCCCACTGCTTAATTAAGCTCCACGACACGAGATATGGAGTGGTGAATGTACAGGTCCACACAACCTCGGCACTAGATGAAAATGAGTAGTAAGCTTCACATTCTGGCCGCTTAATCCCCGAAAAAAAAATGCTCAGTAGCCAAAGGATAGCAGGGCGAGTGGGCCTCGAGTAACGCGATGGAACATCTCTGGGCCTGCCAGGAATTGAATCCCGATTGTCCAGCAACACTCACAGCTTCCTGACTTACTGAAAGATACTGAACAATCTGCATAGTGTGGAAATAATGCGGAAGAAAGCAAGCACGAAGTATTTTAGGTAGAAGATAAGCCTGTTTTACTGATTTTGCCTGGGAGTGCTTAGGAAACTCACCAAACCTCAAAATCTGGTCTCCAAACCGAATTCTTAACCGGCTATGTCCCGAATACGAAGAAATGTGGACTACTAACGTGCCTATTCCACAAGAAAGTTCGTGTCCTTAGCCGTTGCATTATCTAACTTCTCTTCGTTGGCTCTTCCAGCCCTTTCAGGCCCCAGACCTCTTATTCAGTTCCGTAATCATTTTAACAGACGGTAGGCCTCCTTGGATGAGTGATCAACCCGTCGCAAGGCCGCTACCTAAACACAGGACAACACAAATACAGAATAAACACACACACCAAACATCCCGACCGTGAATGAGATTCGAACCCACGATCCCAACGCACGAGCGAGCGAGCGAAGACAGTTCATGCCTTAGACCACGTGGCTACTGTGACCGGCTGCACTCTATGACATGCAAGTACAATTAGTACTGAATTCCATCAAGCGCAACATGACCGTCATGGGACTCACAGCAAGATTTTAATCAATCGAAAATTCTATTATTTTTAACAAAACATATTTAGATACTAGTGTTTTAACTCTTACACGACAACACATACACGTAATACAAGTGAAGCATTTCCTTCAAGCGTTGGTAGCCTTGCGATGAAGACCATCATTGGCCGAAAAATGTGAAAGCTCCATTTTGTTATTAAAAAACACTGTTGCACTTGATAGAATTCAATTCTAATTCTAGGTGTATTTATGCATTATACATTGTAGCAGCGATTAACGGGCAGTTCTGTATAACCAGGTAATTATGTACATTCTCAGCTGGTGATTTTGTATAGTCGCCAGTTATTATAAATACGTAATAAATTCGTAATAACCATAACACACACGTATGTATGTGTTTTGTAAATACATGTATATCCCAAAATCGAGTGCATTTCCTGTCCGTCCGTACGTACTGCTTACCCACCAATCCCATCCTTCTTGTTTTTCACCTTACACCTGGCGTTAGCCATATAAGACAGGATAATATTAAAATGAATCTTACAGAAACGGCATGAACCGACCTGAACTACATCAAAGGTAAAAAGGTAAAGCTATCCCTGTAACAGGCCGTGAAGGCCAAAAGGTTGTGAGACGTCGAGGCTCCCACATTTTCTAGACAATCGGCTCACAGATGGCGGTGAGGTTGTCAGCCCTACACGCCGGCAGCCCTTTTAACTCTCAGGAAGATTCCTGGTAGATTTCTGTTAGAGGCTGAGTCGACCCCAGGGCCATAGCACGACTGGAATGCTCAGGTCAATTTAAAACCAAAATGACCTAAACGGGGGAACTACATCAAACATACATTTTCTTTTACTGACCCAAAATATGCGAGATCTACTGAATAACTGTTAATCAGATGCGTAATATGTCGCACTATGTCCCTGTTAACACTGTTTTCTCAATTCCCCCATTGGTTCAGCCACACGTTCTACTAGCAATTCGTTCGCACCGTCGGCAGTGAACACGATGGGCCAGTAAAATCGTTATTTCGAAACACAACCAATGGATGAGCTGTTTCAGTCAGACGCAAGGAGGGTTTAGGCTGAAAGTTATACTGATACCGTACTTACATGTTTGTTATCTCCTGACAGGAGAGGTGTGTGCGCCTGAAACAAGCAGAGAATACAATTAGCCACTGAAAAGATGCGTGTGTGGAATGGCAATATGTTGCAATGTTCAAACACAGATACTGATGACTTCTTATTTTCTTCGGTATCACGATGAATAACACCAAGGATAACGACGAAAGCAATGGTGATGATTATGATAATGCTGCTGATAATAAATAATAAGCCGTACTGCTCCAGACTTATTTGTATTCATGAGGCGCTAGCTTCGAATCTTGGCCAGGATACCGGCTATACTGAACTCGAGTACGGTTTTCGTGATTTTCCTAAGCCCCTCCAGGCTGTAACTGCTTGCTTCCACATCCATTCCAATTCATTATTCACCAACCATCCTATAATTTGAAGCTATATAGTCCATATACTGCCGGTGTTATAAAATAAGCCACATAAAGCATAATGACACTAATTTCATGGAGCACAATCCTTCTTGCGAAGCTAATAGTCGCTCAACTGGTCATAAAAATCATACTCCTTATTTAGAGGGTAGGAACTCGGAGGCTCATTACCGTGTTCACAACAGCTCACCACTGGATTTCATTCCGAACTACTTGATTTCAGTATACAACCTCCAACATTGCTTCTTCACGTTCCATTTTATGCATCATCCTCCTATCTACACCTCGTCTCGCCATTCACACTTGCCTCCCTACCTTTCAGCTTTCCTGACTAGCAGTTATTTCCCTACTCAGATCAAAATAAACTATTCCGCGCCATATTCTACAATGATAATCCGCCACCCACCTCCTCCTCGTTATCACCTGAGAAGGAAGACCAAAGATGGCGAAGTCGCTGGCACTTGTGCTTTATATCTGGTAAATACCGTTTCGAATCTAGTCCTGAAGGATGGCTATCGTGCCTGTCTTATCTGCGGGTTTATTCAGTTCCTAGAGCAGCACTGCTCGAGTAGTAACCCTCACATCTGCGGGAACAGTCCCCTTAATCATTCATGACTATTCCGTAACCCATAACGTGCTCTTATTCACCCCAACGTTCAGTATTCCACTGCGCGACAACAAAATTACGAAGGCGCCCAGTCGAACTATGGCATTGAAGAAAGGTGGCAAAGAAACACGCCTTGCCCAACGAGGGGCAAGACTTTTGTAAACGCTGAACCAGCAGTTGCGAAAAGTCTAGTAAACTGTTACTCTTTATTGAATAGTACGAAGAAATGCTGACGAGTATAAGTCAGATATTGAATACCCTACGTCGGAGATAAGCAAGTGCCGTTCGACAGATAATTTCAAGGAGGTGCCACCTGGCACTATGTCCGTTAACATCTCGATATTACTAGTGCAAGTCTATACGGTAGATGCTGTCGTCATCCTAACGGTCGAGCCACCCCATAGCGAGACTACAGCAGCCTCACCTGCCTGAGTAAGTGTACCCACACTGTGTAACCAGATAGCCAGAGTATGAGTAGGGCCCGACCTAGCAACACCATGGGATCGGCAGAGCTGCTACACCAGCCTGAGTAATCAGATAGCCAGAGTATGAGTAGGGCCCGACCTAGCAACACCATGGGATCGGCAGAGCTGCTACACCAGCCTGAGTAATCAGATAGCCAGAGTATGAGTAGGGCCCGACCTAGCAACACCATGGGATCGGCAGAGCTGCTACACCAGCCTGAGTAATCAGATAGCCAGAGTATGAGTAGGGCCCGACCTAGCAACACCATGGGATCGGCAGAGCTGCTACACCAGCCTGAGTAATCAGATAGCCAGAGTATGAGTAGGGCCCGACCTAGCAACACCATGGGATCGGCAGAGCTGCTACACCAGCCTGAGTAATCAGATAGCCAGAGTATGAGTAGGGCCCGACCTAGCAACACCATGGGATCGGCAGAGCTGCTACACCAGCCTGAGTAATCAGATAGCCAGAGTATGAGTAGGGCCCGACCTAGCAACACCATGGGATCGGCAGAGCTGCTACACCAGCCTGAGTAATCAGATAGCCAGAGTATGAGTAGGGCCCGACCTAGCAACACCATGGGATCGGCAGAGCTGCTACACCAGCCTGAGTAATCAGATAGCCAGAGTATGAGTAGGGCCCGACCTAGCAACACCATGGGATCGGCAGAGCTGCTACACCAGCCTGAGTAATCAGATAGCCAGAGTATGAGTAGGGCCCGACCTAGCAACACCATGGGATCGGCAGAGCTGCTACACCAGCCTGAGTAATCAGATAGCCAGAGTATGAGTAGGGCCCGACCTAGCAACACCATGGGATCGGCAGAGCTGCTACACCAGCCTGAGTAATCAGATAGCCAGAGTATGAGTAGGGCCCGACCTAGCAACACCATGGGATCGGCAGAGCTGCTACACCAGCCTGAGTAATCAGATAGCCAGAGTATGAGTAGGGCCCGACCTAGCAACACCATGGGATCGGCAGAGCTGCTACACCAGCCTGAGTAATCAGATAGCCAGAGTATGAGTAGGGCCCGACCTAGCAACACCATGGGATCGGCAGAGCTGCTACACCAGCCTGAGTAATCAGATAGCCAGAGTATGAGTAGGGCCCGACCTAGCAACACCATGGGATCGGCAGAGCTGCTACACCAGCCTGAGTAATCAGATAGCCAGAGTATGAGTAGGGCCCGACCTAGCAACACCATGGGATCGGCAGAGCTGCTACACCAGCCTGAGTAATCAGATAGCCAGAGTATGAGTAGGGCCCGACCTAGCAACACCATGGGATCGGCAGAGCTGCTACACCAGCCTGAGTAATCAGATAGCCAGAGTATGAGTAGGGCCCGACCTAGCAACACCATGGGATCGGCAGAGCTGCTACACCAGCCTGAGTAATCAGATAGCCAGAGTATGAGTAGGGCCCGACCTAGCAACACCATGGGATCGGCAGAGCTGCTACACCAGCCTGAGTAATCAGATAGCCAGAGTATGAGTAGGGCCCGACCTAGCAACACCATGGGATCGGCAGAGCTGCTACACCAGCCTGAGTAATCAGATAGCCAGAGTATGAGTAGGGCCCGACCTAGCAACACCATGGGATCGGCAGAGCTGCTACACCAGCCTGAGTAATCAGATAGCCAGAGTATGAGTAGGGCCCGACCTAGCAACACCATGGGATCGGCAGAGCTGCTACACCAGCCTGAGTAATCAGATAGCCAGAGTATGAGTAGGGCCCGACCTAGCAACACCATGGGATCGGCAGAGCTGCTACACCAGCCTGAGTAATCAGATAGCCAGAGTATGAGTAGGGCCCGACCTAGCAACACCATGGGATCGGCAGAGCTGCTACACCAGCCTGAGTAATCAGATAGCCAGAGTATGAGTAGGGCCCGACCTAGCAACACCATGGGATCGGCAGAGCTGCTACACCAGCCTGAGTAATCAGATAGCCAGAGTATGAGTAGGGCCCGACCTAGCAACACCATGGGATCGGCAGAGCTGCTACACCAGCCTGAGTAATCAGATAGCCAGAGTATGAGTAGGGCCCGACCTAGCAACACCATGGGATCGGCAGAGCTGCTACACCAGCCTGAGTAATCAGATAGCCAGAGTATGAGTAGGGCCCGACCTAGCAACACCATGGGATCGGCAGAGCTGCTACACCAGCCTGAGTAATCAGATAGCCAGAGTATGAGTAGGGCCCGACCTAGCAACACCATGGGATCGGCAGAGCTGCTACACCAGCCTGAGTAATCAGATAGCCAGAGTATGAGTAGGGCCCGACCTAGCAACACCATGGGATCGGCAGAGCTGCTACACCAGCCTGAGTAATCAGATAGCCAGAGTATGAGTAGGGCCCGACCTAGCAACACCATGGGATCGGCAGAGCTGCTACACCAGCCTGAGTAATCAGATAGCCAGAGTATGAGTAGGGCCCGACCTAGCAACACCATGGGATCGGCAGAGCTGCTACACCAGCCTGAGTAATCAGATAGCCAGAGTATGAGTAGGGCCCGACCTAGCAACACCATGGGATCGGCAGAGCTGCTACACCAGCCTGAGTAATCAGATAGCCAGAGTATGAGTAGGGCCCGACCTAGCAACACCATGGGATCGGCAGAGCTGCTACACCAGCCTGAGTAATCAGATAGCCAGAGTATGAGTAGGGCCCGACCTAGCAACACCATGGGATCGGCAGAGCTGCTACACCAGCCTGAGTAATCAGATAGCCAGAGTATGAGTAGGGCCCGACCTAGCAACACCATGGGATCGGCAGAGCTGCTACACCAGCCTGAGTAATCAGATAGCCAGAGTATGAGTAGGGCCCGACCTAGCAACACCATGGGATCGGCAGAGCTGCTACACCAGCCTGAGTAATCAGATAGCCAGAGTATGAGTAGGGCCCGACCTAGCAACACCATGGGATCGGCAGAGCTGCTACACCAGCCTGAGTAATCAGATAGCCAGAGTATGAGTAGGGCCCGACCTAGCAACACCATGGGATCGGCAGAGCTGCTACACCAGCCTGAGTAATCAGATAGCCAGAGTATGAGTAGGGCCCGACCTAGCAACACCATGGGATCGGCAGAGCTGCTACACCAGCCTGAGTAATCAGATAGCCAGAGTATGAGTAGGGCCCGACCTAGCAACACCATGGGATCGGCAGAGCTGCTACACCAGCCTGAGTAATCAGATAGCCAGAGTATGAGTAGGGCCCGACCTAGCAACACCATGGGATCGGCAGAGCTGCTACACCAGCCTGAGTAATCAGATAGCCAGAGTATGAGTAGGGCCCGACCTAGCAACACCATGGGATCGGCAGAGCTGCTACACCAGCCTGAGTAATCAGATAGCCAGAGTATGAGTAGGGCCCGACCTAGCAACACCATGGGATCGGCAGAGCTGCTACACCAGCCTGAGTAATCAGATAGCCAGATTATGAGTTGGGCCCGACCTAGCAACACCATGGGATCGGCAGAGCTGCTACAACAGCCTTACTGAGTAACCAGATACCCAGAGTATGAGTAGAGCCCAACCTAGCAACACCATGGGATCGGCAGAGCAGCTGCACCA